GATACTTGAACAGAGTGTGAAAGATTGAGTAGGAATTATTCAAGTGAATAGAGGAAAGCTCTAGACAGTGCTGTTAAGGCAAGAAAAGTTGAGCAAAGCACATAAGGATCAGAAAGGTAGAAATAACTGACATTTACATATTATGTGATTATAGAAAATGCAAACGAATCTGCAAGTTACTTTTTAGGATTAATAAGAATTTAACAAAGTTGCTACATACAAAATTAATTGCATTTCTCTACACTTACAACAAACAAAATATTGTAGTATTGAAAAAGTACTTGAAAAAAGTACTATTTACAATAGCAAAAACATACAAAGTACTTAAAAATAAATCCCTTTATAAACTTAATTATGAAACTAAAGACAATAAGACATATAGGAGAATACCTTTCTAATCTTTGGGTAAGGAAGTTTTTCTTAAGACACTTGAAACACATCCTATAAAGAAAAATATTGATATTTTCAACCATAGGAAATTAAGAATTTTTATGTGTCAAAAGATACCATAAAGAGAGTAAAAAGACAAGCCACAGCTGTAAGGCTTTGAAATATGAATAATTGGGAAAGACTGTTATGCATTTGTATTTATAATTAATTAATATGCTTAGCTAGTATTACTTAGTATTATATTAGAATTCTTTTCAATCTGTTTAAAAAAAAAAAAAGACAACCCTGTTGAGAAATTTAGGTGTTACATATTTCTATATACATTTTAGAGTTGTTAATTTCTGCAGAAAATTTACTAGGATTATGATTGGGATTGCATTGAATCTATAGACCAATATGTGGAAAATTGATATTTTAACAACATTGAATTTTCTAATCCATGAACATGATCTGTCTCTATTTATTTAATTCGCCATTAAGTTTCCCCAGCACCTGGATATCTAAGTATTTCATGTTTTGATACTGTTGTAAGTGGAATTACAAAAAAAGTGTCTTCCAGTTGACTGCTCCTAGTAGAAAAATAATTGTACTGATTTATTATATATTAACGTTGTATTCTTTAATTCTAGTAGTTGTTTTGCAAATTCTTTACTATTTCTTCATTTACAATCATGTTGTTTTCAAATAAAGATAGTTTTACTCCTTCCTTCCTAATCATTATTTATTTTTAAGCTTATTGCATTCCTGAGATAAATTCTTTATTATAGTATAGTATCTTTTTTTATATTGTTGGATTTAATATGTGTTAGCATCTTGCTAAAGACTTTTGTATCTATATTCATGAAGGCTATTAAACTAATATTTTTCATTTAAAAATTTTGTTAGGTTTTGGTATTAGAATTCCTGCTAGCCTCATAAAATGAGTTGAAAACTGTTCTCTTTTCATCTGTTTCCTAAAAGAGTTTAAGATGGATGTTATTTCTTAGTTAAATGTTTGTAAAATTACCATTGAAACCATTTGGGCCTAGACTTTAGTTTGTAGGAAGTTTGTAACTCGTTCAGTTTCCTTAATAGTGGACTGTTAAGATTTTCTTTTTCATTTTGTATATGTTTTTGTAAATCATATTTTTCAAGGAATTTTCTTATTTCATCTGTAAAATTTAATACAAATTTAGTCAATAAAAATATTGAATTTATTAAAATGAACTTATTGATCATGTTTTATCATTTTTATGATATGTGTAGTTCTGACCCTTCATTGATTCATCTACTTAATTCATCTTCTCTTATTTTCTTAACTATCAATTTTCATCTTTTCAATGAGCCAGCTTTACTTTTGTTAATTTTACCTATTTTTTTTTCTTTGTTGACTTCTTAAGCTCCTAACTTTCTTTTTTTCCTCTACTTAATTTGTGTTGATTTGGCTCTTGTTTTTCTGGCTTTTTAAAATAAATTGAACCTTAGGTATTTGGTTTTAGACTTTTTTTTTTTTTTTAAGTTTTGCTCTCTGTCATCCAGGCTGAAGTGCAGTGGCACAATCTCTGCTCACCACAGCCTTGTCTGATCTTCTTCTCATTTTAGCCTCCTAAATAGCTGGGACTACAGCTATTTAGCCTCCCAAATAGCTGGGACCACCACGCCTGGCTAATTTTTTTTTTTTTAATTTTTGTAGTGATAGGGTCTCATTGTGTTACCTAGGCTGATCTCAAACTCCTGAGTTCAAGCAACTCTCTGGCTTTGACCTCCCAGGGTGTGGGGATTACAGGCGTGAGCCACCACACCTGGCCTAGGTCTTTCTTTGTATTAAAAATATTTCAAGGTGTAAGTTTCTTTCTCAGTACTACTTTGGCTGTATACTACAAATTTTGGTGTATTTTCATTATCACTTACATCGAAATACTTAACATTTTTCTTCTAATATTTTTTGACTCATGACTTATAGAAGAATGTGTTGTTCAAATTTACATAATAGTTTTTTTCTCCTAAACATCTCCTTATTGTCATCTAATTTGATTCCTTTGTGGTTAATGCTCGTCCTCTCTGTGGTTTCAACCCTTTTACATTTATTGAGATTTGTTTTTATGACCTAGTGTATAATCTTTCTTGGTAAGCATACTGTTTGCATTTGAAAAGAGTGTTTATTCTCCAGCTATTGGGTGCAGTATCCTATAAATGTTAATTAGGTAAAAGTGTTGAATAATTTTGTTTAGATCACTTACGTCTTTTTGGATATTTTTGGTCTAATTTTTTTTTTTTTTTTTGAGTTGGAGTCTCACTCTGTCGCCCAGACTGGAGTGCAGTGGCCGCTCCCGGCCACCGCAGCCTCGAATTGCTGGGCTCCGGCAATCCTTCCGCCTCAGCCTTCCAAGTTGCCGAAACTACAGGCACGCACTAACACGCCGGGCTTATTTTTGATTTATTGTAGAGATGAGGTCTCACCAAGTCGTCTGGGCTGGTACTGAATCCGTGGGTCTAATTGTTGAGAAGAGTATATTTAAATCTCTGTGATTGAAGAATTGTCTACTTTTGCATTTAATTGCTTCATGTATTTTGGAGCTCTTTGGTGATAATTATGCAATTTATAATTTGTAAACTGTTACATTTTCTTGGAAAATTGACCACCCTTTGTAGTAGTTCTCTCATCTGCCTAAATGAAGTATCCAGATGATAGGAACATCCTGAGACAGGATGTAGATGTGGAAATTCGCCTCTCTGAATATCATTCTTAGAATGAGACTTTCAGCAAATTGTAGTTATGAATTAATGTTTACTGACTCCTTCTTTTCAAAACATAAGTTTAAGTTTACCCTTTAATAATATATATGATTATCTACATATTATTAAAAGTTTTATTATGACTAATTTTTATTTCAGCAGAAAGCAAAACAGAAACTTGCCAGCTTGAAGAATTTTGAAAATAAAATAAAAAGTTTTGCAGTAGGAAGTAGAACGTGTGTTACACTAGCGTTAAATAGTTTAGAAATATTTTGTTGTGTTCATTAAGTTTTGGTGAATTAAACAGTGAATGAATCTATAGTGTTTAAAAGCAATGACTCCATATTCTGCCAGAGTGATTAGAGGCTACTGACACATCGTACTGCTTTTGTAATAAGAGTTCAGCTTTGGCTCTAGTCTCTTAATTATAGTTTGTTTTCCCCACCCCCTCCCCTGCTCCCCCTAATTATAGTTTTATGTATTTGTTAAGCTTAGCTCTTTGTTTCAACTCTAAACTGTCTTCTTAAGTATCACAACTGAAAACTGAATAGGATTTTTAAAAATACAATTATCTGCAAAGTTATTAGTTCTGCAACAGATGTTAATGATTTATGCATAATGAAATTAAAATTAGACTAAGGATTTTTAATAATATTAGGAATTAGAACATTTAATGATTATCAACTCTGAGACTTCAGGCTATAGATTCCACTCTACCTTGCCCAGGATGAAAAAGTTGTTGAATGTATAGAATTATTTATCTATACAATGTCCTTCAGAAATATTTTTTTCCAGCTTGATTAAGATATATTTGATAAGTGAAAATTGTATGAATTTAGGGTGTACAACGTGATGGTTTGATATACGTATATATTGTGAAATGATTACCACAATCAAGCTAATTAACACATCTATCAACTCACATATCATTTTTTATTTTATATTTTGTGTACCATTTTTTAAAATTTTTACATAAGATCTATTGTCTGCAAATATGAGGTATATAGTACAGCATTATTAACTATAGTAACCATCTGTAGATTAAATGCCCAGAACATATTCATGTTGTAACTGAAAGTTACATATTCATCTTGTAACTGAAAGTTTGTAACCTTTGACTGACATCTCATTTTCCCCAGCCCTCAGCCCCTGGGAATCCCCATTCTACTCTCTGCTTCTGTGAGTTTTTTTAGATTCCCCATATAAGTGAGATCATACAGTATTTGTCTTTTTGTGTCTGGCTTATTTCACTTAGCATAATGTCCTCCAGGTTCATTCATGTTGTAGCAAAGGGCAGGGTTTCCCTTAAGGAATATCTAAATGTAATACCTGCTGTTCTACAGTAAGAACACAGGTTGATAGGTGCCTTTGTGTAGTGGCAAGAAGATGAACTAGGAAGGCAGGTGTAGGTTTGAATCTTAGCTTGTCTATAAGCAGCTGTGTGACTTTGAGATAGTCACTTCATTTCTTTGAAATTTATTTTTTCTACACATAAAATAAAGATAAATATTTATGGCCTAGGTTTGTTTTGAGAATGAAATGAGATGTGATGCATGTATTTGAAAGATGCCTGGGGATCAATAAATATTAGGTCTTTTTTCCTCCCGCTATTTTTTTTCCTGGATTTAGCTCGATATACATTTGGTGCAACATAAATTAATATTGAACGAAATATATGTGTTCAGTTTAGCCAGCAATGAAAAACAGACTGATGGCCTGCTCTTTGGATTCAAATTGAAATGGTTTAGATGACAAATATTTAATTTAAGGTACCTCTGCTAATTTTTCTCAGTTTTCCACATAGTAGGCACTTAGGATTTATTCCTTCCTAACATATATATTCTTGTTTCATTGTGATAAGATGACCTGATAATAATGTCCACTTATTTCTTTAGATGTAGAAGATCTTTATGATCCGGTGTCTGTACCATTCTCATACCCCAATGGACTCAGTGAAAATAGGTCTGTTGTTGAAAAATTGAAATACATGGAAACCAGGGCACTGTCCGCTGAAGCTGCGTTAGCCAGAGCTCGTGAGGATCTACAAAGAATGAAGTAATTTACCAATCTTCTACAAGATTAAATATTTAGATTCCTCCAAATAATACAGCTAATGACTAGGTAGAATATAGAATTGTATAATGTGTCAGGGAATTGTAGAACATTTCATATACTGGGAAGTACAATGTAGATATTTAACTTTAGTAGTACTAAAGATATATTGTACATGTAGTTGATTAATAGGTAGAATTTTATGATTTTACCTATTCATATATACTTCATAATTACTTTTGTACTCATGGTAATTGTTCTGATAAGTATTGTCCTCTTGAATGCTTTTGTTCTTTAATGTTGCCTTTTTCTCAGTTTTCCTGTTTCTAGATGATTTCTCCATTCACTTTACCTATCCTAGGTTTTTAAAGTGGAGGGCTTTATATTTTTAGGTTTGAGGAAAATGCAGTGTTGAAATTTTTATTTTTAAAGAATCAAAATGTAATTGTGGTACAGTGTTTAACCAGAAAACCAGATAGATGGGGCACTTTTTTCCAATGAATAAATTAGCATTCCACCTGTGGGGTGCTTTTCAAAGTGTAATAATTTACATGCAAATCACCTGAGGATCTTGTTAAAATGTAGATTCTGATTCTAGAGACCTAGAGAAGGGCCTGAGATCTGCATTTCTAACCAGTATTCAGAGCTTTACCTGCTGAATTTGTAAGCTGTTTACTGTTGCTTAAGCACCTTTGATGATTTGCCAGGATGTCCAGCAGGAAAGATAGTAGAGCCAATTGTAGTTTTGGTTCCTCTTCCCTGTTTCTGAATTTTCATTGATTGGTAACATAGTAACCCTTTTTTTCCTCTTATTTTTTATTTTAAAAATATAGGGTGCAATTAAGGATTAGGTACATATGTGGTCATTGTACAGGTAAAGCGTGGGTACTCTTATTGGTGTTATGTGCTCCCCTGGTAGTGTCCCACTACTGTCAATCCTTTTCTTACAGTATTCTGATGAATGTTCAGGGTCTGCTTATGAGTGAGTACTTGTGGTACTCAGGTCTTTGTTTCTGTGATAAATCACTGAGTGTCATAGACTCTTAATTCCATCTAGGTTGCTGTGAAGGTCATATTTTTTTTATGACTGCATAATATTCCATCATGTAAATGTACCATCCAGTCCACTTTTGATGGGCAGTACGGTTGATTCCATGTTTTTGCTATTGTGAATAATGCTGCAATAAACATGCGTGTGCAGGTATCTTTTTAGTAGAGTGATTTGAGTTCCTCTGGATATATTCCCAGAAGAGGGATTGCTGGGTAATATGGAAGGTGGATTTTTAGATCTTTTAGAAATTGCCACACAGTTTTCCACAGAAGTTGTACTAGTTTACATTCCTGCCAACAGTGTAGAAGTGTTCCCTTTTCATCACATCCTCTCTAGCATCTGTTGATTTTTGAGTTATTGATGGTGGCCATCCTGATTGGAGTTAAGTGGTATCTCAGTGTAGTTTTAATTTGCATTTCTTTGATGATTAGTGAGGCTGAGCAGTTTTTCATGTATCTGTTGGCTGCTCATATGTCTTCTACTGAGAAATGTCTATTCAAGTGTACTGCCCATGTTTTAATAGGGTTTTTTGCTTTTTTCTTTCGGCACATTTGAGTTTCTTGTAGATCCTGGATGTTAGACCTTAGTCAGATTTATAGCTGGCAAATATTTTTTCCTATTCTGTGGGCTGTCTCCCCGTTCTCTTGATGGTTTCTTTGGCTTTACCGAAGCTTGTCAGTTTGATGAGGTCCCACTTGTCTGTCTTATCTCTTATGGCATTTGCTTTTGGAGAGTTGATCAGGAATTGGTTTCCTATTCCAATTTCCGTAAGGGTGTTTCCTGGATTTTCTTCTAGGATTCTTATAGTTTGAGGTTTTACATTTAGGTCTTTGATCCACTTAGAGTTGATTTTTGTGTATGGTGATAGGTAGGAGTCCTTTGATGAATTCCTAATGTGTCCTGATCAGAGAGTTTTAGAACTGGAGTGGGTGGTACTGGTGTTTGTAAGTAATTATCTATTTGGGTCTTCCTTCTGCTTATTTATCACTCCTAAGAGATACTATGGTTTTAAAGAATTTTAATAGAGATGAAATATACCACATTGATTCAGTGCTACAAAAAAGATTTTATAATAGAGATAATAAATTTTAATAAAGGTAATATCCTTCTTTTGTTCAGTTGAAAGATATAAAGAGCTATAATCTGCAGTAGGCATTGCTTTTTTTGGCATTGCATTCTAAGGAATGCTTACAATTGGGTTTGACGATACCATTGCCTAAGAGCCAGCAGGGGGAGCTTTTGGTTGTTCAAGATAGACTGTGATTTAAAAGGCTCATCACACTCCACTCCCTCCCTTTTCCTCTTTCCCAACCTCTAGCTTTTCCTTTTTTCATGGTCCAATAAATCTGTCTCAAGGGTGTATTTCAAATTGATTACAGACAATTCGCTCAGGATTTTGTGATGAACGCAGATGTCAGAACCTGCTCATCATCGAGTGCCATTGCGGACCTCCAGGAGGATGAGGATGGTGTTTATTTCAGCTCATACGGGCATTATGGGATTCACGAAGAAATGCTAAAGGTTAGAAAAGAATACAAATGTGCCACATCTATACTAAAGGCAAAATCAAATAGACCAGGTTACTTCTTAATACATATGTATGCTGTAGGAGAACTACTTTTTTTTTTTGATAACTGTTTCTTAAACCTCTTTGGTGCTGGATAGCTCATCTTGGATTGAAAAGACTATAAAACACCAGTCATTTGTAAATTCTATTTAAGATAATTAATTAATCTTTATTATGAAATTACTTTTGCTTAAAATGAAATATTAGAAAAAAAAGTGATAATTTTAGTCTTCTCAAGAATAGCTATTAAGTAAGAACAATTAAACTGATTATACGTTTGCCTTTTAATGTGCAAAGGAAATTATTAATTTCAGTGTTTTAAATAGCAATATTGACTTCTGTTTGGGCAGATAATAGTTCTTTGATATGAAGTTTAATTATAAATCTCACAACTGGTATGGTATAACTCTTTTACATGTGAAATTGTTGATATGTAGGAGTATTTTCTAAAGTGGTTAAATTAGTGCATAATGATGTTTCAGTCAATCATGGACTACATTTACGATGGTGATCCCATAAGATTATAATACTGTATTTTTATTGTACCTTTTCTGTGTTTTGATACATAAATACTTAACCTTTGTGTTACCATTGTCTACAGTATTCAGTACAGTAACATGCTGTACAGGTTTGTAGCCTAGGAGCAATAGGCTAGACCACGGAGCCTAGGTGTGTAGTAGGCTAGACCATCTAGGCTTGTGTAAGTATACTGTAAGATGTTCATGCAACACCATATTTCTCAGAAGTGTTTTTGTCACCAGGTGACACATAACTGTATTTAAATCTGGCTGCTTTTAATATTTATAATGATAATGTCCACATACAATAGAAGTTGATTACTAGTGATCCCCAGTAATTATACATTTTATCAAGTATTGTATTATAGATTATAAAATAGGGAGATGTAATTTTTAATTTAGTGAAACTGAAACTCTCTAACTCTAGAGTGAAATAAATGTAATGTGAAAATTGAAAATTTTAGATAATAATCCCTGAATTTTAGATGCCACTGTTACCTTTTCTTTCTTTTTTAAATATATATTTTTTTTATTTTTGAGTGGGGGTCTCTGTCACTCAGGCTAGAGTGCAGTGGCATAATCACAGATCACTACAGCCTCAAATTCCTGTTCTCAGGTGATCCTCCCACCTCAGCCTCCTGAGTAGCTGGGACTAGGCATGTACCACCATTCCTAGCTAATTTAATTTTTCTGTAGAGATGCTGTCTCAGATCTTGCTATATTGCCTAAGCTGGTCTGCAACTCCTGGGCTCAAGGAGTCCTTCCACCTCAGCCTTTCAAAGTGCGGGGTTATAGGCATGAGCCTATCATCATTATATGATGATATCTGGCTTACCTTTTCTTAGAAACAAAAAATCCCTTCCTAAATCCTCCAAAGATTGTCTTAGTTTATGGAAGCCCTAATACTAGGTTTCCCTCAAATATATGCATTTAAATTAACCAGGGATATTTAATAGCATGTATATATTTTGTTGAGTCAGTTTTGCAGGACCACAGAGTAAAAGTTTGTAGATTGATAATAATTATACTTATGTGGGGTCTTTTAAAGCAATGTCATGTCATTACTTTTCTAATGACTTGTCACAGTTGGCTGTGCTTTATGTTGTCACTTGTAATGGCATAGCATTACAAATAACATAATATATACATATAATAATAACACGTATGTAATAAATTATTAAGTTTGGAGTGAATTTATTTAAAAGAAATTGACTTGCTCCATTTTCTTTGTTTAAACTAATTTTATTATGTCTAAAATATTTTCTTTAAAGGATTTATTCTAGGTTTTAAGTACCCCATCAATTTAAATGCCATGAGCTTTTCAAACAGGTTAAAGGTCACTGAGATTCCTCATAGTATGAGTGTTAGAAGTTCAAGGTATTTCACTGCTAGAATCTTACCTAATTTTTATATATTATTTTAAATTGAGAAACCATATTTATAGGACTTATACTTAAAATTGTACCTTGTTTTTCTACAACGTGATTTGGATTTTGTGTTGCTTAGTTTCATATGTTTCAGTGACACTATTTGGTACATGTTTTGATTATAATTTTTTTCATTTATTCATTAGAGTTGAAGTCTCACTCTGTCACCCAGACTGGAGTGCAGTGTCATGCTCACGGCTGCTACAACCTTGACCTGCTGGGCCTGGGTGATCCTTCTGCCTTAGCCTTCCAAGTAACTAGAACCACAGGCGTGCACCATGACACTAGGCTAATTTTTTTTTAATTTATTGTAGAGATGAGATCTTGGCAAGTTGTCCAGGCTGGTCTTAAACCTCTGGTCTCAGGCAGTCTTTTCGCCTCAGCCTCCCAAAGTGCTGGGATTACAGGTGTGAGCCACCATGTCTGGCCTGATTATAACTTTAAATAAAGGTAGTTCGTGATCTTATTTCTGGAGTTAAGATGAGGACACCTTTTTTAAATTCCAGAGATGTAATTGATAGAGGAACAGATTACACGAACTTTCAAAATACCTTGCCACTTTATCTTTTTGAAGAATAGTCATTGTTGACTAATAACATAACTCTGAAATGCGTTACTCTCTTTTTTTGTTTTCAAGAGAAACATTATTCCACCTAGCATGCATATGTCACAGATCATAGTGCCATTTAATGATTAAAAATTTTGGTAAATTTTCTTTACTGCATTCTCCTTATTGTATCTGCAGTTGATTTAAGCATTCTCTCCAGCTTCAAGAGCTGCTAAATTAGAAATATACTGTTATTTGTATATATAAAATTTGTAGTATAACTTTTCTCTTGTCTTTGTTCTCATTCTTAAATTTTTTAAGTATTTGTAGGATTAATTCCATGACACTTTACTAGTCTTAAAATATTACCTTACTCCTGAACTATAACTTGTTCTTTTGAGCTTCTTAGTTTCAAGGTTGATACAAAATATAATTTTAAAAATTTGGAAATTTGGTTTTTTTACCTTGTTGAAGTGTTATCCTTGGTTAGAATACATTTTTTAGAAATGGTTATGAAGACTAGTCTTTTATTTGCTTGCCTTTTCATGTTTGCTGGTTTTTCTTTGAACAATTCAGTTACTAAATTGAGGATCTGCTATATGCAAGGTATTATGTTTGGTGTACTTTGGATTTCACTGCCCTAGGGTGAAAATATGAACAAAAATAGATGAACATATAGAAAGAACCAGAATGAAAGATTGTAGTTCAGCTGAACAGCAGTGCATAGAGTTAGGACAGCAGTTGGGATTCTGTTGATTATGTTGAAGCAGTGGTGAGACACTATGATTGGTGAGAGCTTTCTGAGTGACTGCCTTCCTGACTGATGGTCACTCTTTGGACGTTTTGTTGTTTCAGCAAAGCTCACTGGTTATAGTGTAAGAGGAATAAACAAAATGTAAAAATTGTATGAAATTTTATACTTTGATAAAAAGACAATTCAAATTAGAACGAGAGAGAGAAAGAGAGAGAATGTGTGTGTGTATATAATTACTAAGATAAATATTACTAAGAAAAAATTACTAAGATAAAGCAAGTCTTTAAATAACTTTAAGGGAAAGATTTAATAAGCCTACTATTTAAAATTTTTGGTAAAGCAATTAGAAATAATAATCAGAAAACATGGAATTAATTTTGTTTTTTCCTTTTAAGTCTGATAATTAAGTAAAACAACTTACCTTTCAATTTAAGATCTCCTTTACATGTTTTTTTGTTTGTTTGTTTGTTTGTTTTTTTGAGTCAGAGTCTCACTCTGTTACCTAGGCTGGAATGCCATGGCAAAATCAACATTCACCGCAGCCTCAATCTCTTGGGCTCGGGCAATCCTTCCGCCTGAACTTCCTGAGTAACTGGGTCTACAGGCATATGCCATCATGCCTGGTTAACTTTTTTAATTATTTCTTTGCAGAGATGAGGTCTTGCTATGTTACCCAGGCTGGTCTCCAACTCCTGGTCTCAAGCAATCTTCCCTCTTTGACCTGCTAAAGTGCTGGAATTATAGGCGTGAGCCACCATGCCTGGCCAAACATGCTTTAAAAAAAAATACCAATATTGGCACACAAATATTTTGGAGGTATGTTACTTTGATAGTGTAGCGATTTTTTCTTTTTACCTAGTGTGAAACCCAAAACTAGAATTCTCATTCTTTCACATTTATTTTTATCACACTCACATTTTACTTACTTGGCCACAGACCCCCTTATTGCTTAATTTGCAGTCAGTCTGTATTGTGTTTCAGCACTGGGAATCAGTTCTGTTCATGAACCAATGTAAGTGTTAGAGTTGAATGCCTGACTTGGTAGCAGATCATGTGCGACTCAAGAGTGTAGGAATCTCGTAATGTGGGCTGCAGGGCTCCAATGATTTACTTTTAGGCTTATAGATGGTTAAGCATCATTTCCTACTGAAATTTGTACAAAATTTGTACAAACAAAGCAGGATTATAAATTAGATAGGTGCTGATCAATGACTTTCTTAGAAAAACATATTCAGTTTAGCTTCGTTTATGTATAGCTGCAACTTTTACATTTTTTTCCTCACTTTTATTTTAATGTAGCTATAGTGCAGAGAGTCAGGCCTTGTTTAAAGATACCAAACCTCATGTTCATCTTCTGTTAACTTTAATTATCATTTATTCTTATGGTGATAGTGCATGTGATAATGCATGTAAAGAGGAAAATGTATACGTTTTTGAGAGGTAAGATCTTTTTTATTTTCAATGCTATTCTTTTCTTTTAGGAAAAAAAATAAGCTTGGTTTCCCAGCCCAAACAAACAAAAATACTGTAGAAACTAGCAATGTGTGATAAAATAGCAAATATCTCTCTTAAAATTTTATTTTTTAGACTGTTTTGTAAACATGATGTTTTCTCTCCACCCTAGGACAAAGTACGAACAGAAAGCTACCGAAATTTCATATACCAAAATCCACATATCTTCAAAGACAAGGTTAGTAGTGTAGATCACAGAATTGTACGTTTCATGTTGTTCTGGGCAATCTTCTCTTGGGTCATCATTGTTGATTTAATGTATCCTGGCTTTATTTCATGGAAGACTTTTATGATGCTGCTCTGTGGTGCAGAGTACTGATAACAGAAATGCTGATTGGTACTGTCATTCAGTATGCTTTTTTAAAAAATTAAATGCCATTAATTACAGTGACATAGCTTAAACTTTGCTTATTCAGATAATTTTGCTTAAACCATATTTTTTATTTACAATGATTCCTGTGAATTTCTAATGTATTGGATAAGCCCCACATCAAAGCACATTTTTAATTATTACCCTAATTTGTGTTCAGTAACCAAACATTGATAATTATAGGAAAAATAATGAGTAGGGCTCAGTATTGTAATGTAGTATTTATTTTATGTGCTTCCTTTTAATACTGTATTAATTTACCCCTTAATGAGATACTGTGTATCTTACAGTTGGTCTTAATATTGTCTCAGATTATTTAAAAAGTGGCCACACATACTTTGTGTGTGTGTGCCTATGTGTATGATATTTGTTTTTTCTCCCTTCTGATCTTTTTTTCATTTTTTACTTCCTCTTTCCCTCTCTCTTTCTCCTTTTCTACATTGGCATGGTTACTTTAAAGTTCATCTTTTCTGTTTGTTCTTTCTTATTGGAAATTAGTCCACTAATTTAGTCAAAAATATTATGATCTCTGCCATTTTTATACCTTTGCTTGGGAATTTTTCCACTGTTTTTATTTATGAACATATATATTGATAACATACGAGGTTTTTATCATTTCTTTCCCGCCTCAATTTTAAAAGGTACTTCTCTAAGGCTGTTTTATGGGCTTTACATGATACTGAAGCAGTGAGAAACAACTTTTATGTTTTGAAAACCCCTTTTCCTCATTTTTAGATAGTTTGGAATATAATCTGGATGGTTTTTCATTTTCTGTACCTCCTTTTTTAAGAGCAGTGTTTCACTTGTGAGTTAGCTGAACTGGACAGAAATGTGCTGGTGTTGATGTGGTATCTGATATCTTTTGGCTAAAGCATTGCCTATTATGAAAGGTTTATAATGGTGTATATGTTTGTTTTTGTTGGTTTCCACCATAGACAAATAAATGATTTCATTTAAAAATCAATTATTAGTTATTTATGTTTAGCTTTTTTGTGTTCTTTGTATATATTATTATAGTGAGAACTTTAGAATTTTTTCATAGTCTTTAGGTTTGCACTCAAGTGGTCAGTTTATTTCATATTTGTCTGAAAAATCACTTTGTTTCCAGTAAAGCAAATAATGTTACTATTAACTATGTAACTATTAAGCAAATTATGTTACTAAAGTAGTGTTGCTTTTTATTTCTAGTTAGATTATGCCCAGATTTTTATTTTATTGTTTCCCTAATATATTGTATAGAAATTTAGCATGGGAATTACTAATCCTGACTAGTCTGGAGCCAACTATGTTATTTTGAGTAAGTGGTGAATCTCTTTGGACCTCATCTGTGAAGTGATTTTTAAAAATCCTTTCTGTTTCTAAAAATCCATGATTTCTGTTACTGTAAAAACAACATCATATCTTTCTTTGAGCCATCTTCTCTTAACATTTTATAATAGGAATTCCATAGAAATTTGTTAAGAAAAGTTCTCCCTCAGGATGCTCCTGAGTAGACTTTTGTCTTTTTTTTTTTGAGTTGGAGTTTTACTCCGTCGCCCAGACTGGAGTGCAGTGGCTGCTCCCGGCCACCGCAGCCTCGACCCACTGGCCTCCGGTGATCCTTCCACCTCAGCCTTCTGAGTAGCCGGAATTACAGGCACGCGCTACCACGCCCGGCTGATTTTTGATTTATTGTAGAGATTAGGTCTCGCCAAGTTGCCCAGGTGGGTCTTTTAATAGTAAGGAAATACTGAAAAGACATAAGTATTGGTAATCATAAGATTAATCATCAAGAAATTAAGTATTTGTGAATATTTCTATTATATGAGTTATGAGTTCACAGGCCTGTACAAGTCACTTTTTGCTTCTAGGTTTTTAGTTATAATGATATTATAGACATGTTGTATATGTTATGCTTTTTCGAACAAAGTATATACGTTCATGGAACATATTTAATCTGTAATTATTTTGTTATGTTTCACTTCTCTTGCTAAGAGATTGAATCTGCCAGAGTCAGAGTCAAAAAAGTGCTTATTAATAAGTTAGGAATATTTTTCCTTGGTACTTTGCCTTTAACTTTATCAGTGTGTAATGACTTTTATTGGCATTTATGGTTTCACAAAAATAGACTGTAATGTAAAATATTATACTTGTCAATTTTTAACTTCTTAAAGTACATTCAGGGCATAATTTTCTGTAATTAACAATATTAAATAATCTAGAGCTTTCTTTTATTCAAATGTATTGGGATACTTTTTATTGCACTGCGGCTGCAGATTTAGAAAATATATCATATATTTAGAGAGCATTTGATAATTTATAGATTACTTTCAAACATGTCTCTTTGTCACTATGCAGTATACCTATAGCTAGGCAAGTATTTATCTCTATTTTATACATGAAGAAAACTTCAAATCAGCAGAATAATTGACTTGCCCCAATACATGCAATTAAAAAACCCTGAGGCTTTTTACTCCTAGTCTAGTACCCTTAACTCTGTCACTACACTTGAGACACCATTATGTTAATATAGAATGAGTAAGTAATGAGGATAGGATCTGTTAGTTACAGGTAAATTCACACTATTTTTCATATGTAGGTCATATGATTTCTATGTGTCGTGGGAGGATATGACTAAAATTATATATAGTTCTTTTTTTAAACACCCAACACACTTTAATTCTTTTAAAAAAATACAAAGCAACATTTTTTTCCAAATTTTATTACTATTTTTTCCTGTATGCTTTTTTCCTTTAGGTAAATACATATGTATTTATATCACATTAGCTTCTGTGCCACATTATGTAGTACATAGTAGAAATTTGATTCTCAAAAAGAGTGCTTGTGATTAAAAGTGTTTTCTTTCCTTTCTTCCTTTTCTTTTCCCTCAATTCCTTCCTGGCTTTGTTTCTTCCTTCCATTCTTAATATTGTTTCAATTCACAAAGCTCCTGTTGAGGCCATATGGTTCTGGGATTAACTTAACTTTGGGTGGTATTTAATTGTGTTATCACCCACTCATAATTAATTTTTATTTGTAGTTCATTGAAGAAATTCTCAGTTAGATGTCTTCTTTATGCTTTTGGCTATTATCTACAGTTTCAATTAATTCATTTTTTTTCTTCTTTTAGAAAAAAGTAATTCAAATTCCTTCATTATTTTATAAAATAATTTTTATTCTGTTTCTCCTTCATTCTATGATTCTATAAAGTTAGTTTATCTGCCTAATCACCTCATTCTGAGCTAGATGTATAAACAATTAACCCATACAATTAAAAATAAATTAAAATATAGACTTTAAAAGCAGATGGTCCTATGTTTGAAGCTGGCTCTGCAAAATACCAGCTGTATGACCTTGGGCCTTGTTCATTCCTTCCCTGAAGCTTGCTTTCCTTATTTGCAAAATGAGGATTAATTAAGAATTTTTTACATATGTGTATAAATTTATATCTGTATGTGCATATACATAGACTTGCAGAAACACTCCATTAGGAGTATACTACTGTATACACATCCTTCTATACTTTCTTCACTCAGCACTTTTTCTTAGAGAGCATTCTTTATTTTTTTTCCTCTTTTTTATTGTCAAATACACATAAGATATAATTTGCTGTCTTAATTATTGTTAAGTTTACAGCTCAGTGGTATTAAGTTCATGCATTCATAATGTTGTATACCCGTCAACACCTTCCCTCTCCTGTGCTCTTTTGTCTTGTGAAACTGGAACTGTACTCATTCAACTATAACTCCTCTTGTCAGCCTCTAGCAGTCATTAGTCTACTTTCTAACTATGATTTTGACTACTGTAAGTACCTCATATAGGTGGAATTGTACAATACAGTCATTCCTCAGTATCTGTGAGGGATTTGTTCTTCAGAAAAATGGTGTGATGTTTGCATATAACCTCTGTACATCCTCCCATATACTTTAAATCATCTATAGATTACTTAAAATGCCTAATACAATGTAAATGCTAGTCAAATAGTTTTTGGGAATAATGACAGGAAAAAGAAGTCTGTACTGTTCAGTAGAGACAATCTTTCTTTCTGAATATTTTCAATTCTCAATTGGTTGAATCCATAGATGTGGAACCAAGGGATACAGACTATATTTGTCTTTTTGTGACTGGCTTATTGCACTTAACCATAATGCCCTCAAGGTTCCATATGTGTCATAATTTTGTTCTTTTTTAAAGCTGAATAATCTTCCGTTGTATGTGTGTATCACATTTTGCTTATCCATTAACACAGGCTACTTCCACATTTAGCTATTATTGTTATTATTAGTATTAACTATTATCCTGCCATTAATGTAGGTGTACAAATATCTCTTAGAGACCCTGCTTTTAATTCTTTTGGATATATACCCAAAAATGAAATTGCTGAGCCATGCAGTAATTACATTTTTAATTCCTTGAGGAATTGTCATACTGATTTTCGCAGTAGCTACACAATTTTACATTCCTACCAACAGCGCACAAGGGTTCCAATTTCTCCAGCCTTGCCAACACTTGTTTCTGTTTTTTGGTAGTAGCCATCATAATTGGTATGAGGTAATAATAGTGCATTATAGTTTTTGTTTGAATTTTTATAATGATTAGTGATGTTGAGTATCTTTTCATTAATATTCTTTTAATGGTTCGTATATCCAGTGTAAAATCATTTTCTGCCATATAATACTTTAAGTTGATGTTTTATAGTCTTGCTATACACATATATACTATTTATTACACTGGTTTCTTGCTGTTTTGGTTAAACATTTTATTTGGAGCTTTTAAAAAATTCTTTTTAAAAGATTTTAATTTTTATATTAGAAACAATGCTTCATATGAAAGGGGAAATATTAGAAGTCTTGATATATGTGGTGGTACAGTTATATGGTAAATGCTAGCAGTGGACTCTCTGGGTTAAAAAGGGCATATCCTGTATAGTATTACCAGCAGTGCTGCCCGCCTGTCTTTCCATACACAGCATGTTCATGTTGATCTTGCCACACACCACCGTGAAAGCACATTCCATACTGACCTTTTTAATTTTAATTTTTAAATTGTGTAAATATTTTAATAAGAGTTTCTGGGGACTTATTACATGCTATTGATTTGTACATATTTTTCTATTTTCTGCATATAATATGCTAAGTTGATGTTTTATAGTCTTGCTGTACATATACACTATTTATTGCAGTGGTTTCTTGCTGTTTTGGTTAAACATTTTATTTATGACTTTGAAAAAATTATTTTTGTTTGCAACTATAAAGAAAATTCTCAAGTTTGTAAAAGTAATTATGTAAAAATGTCCTGACTCACCCAAACAGGTCATGTGGTTAAAAACAGTCAGATTCCCACCATGACACCATTTGGGTGGAGGATAGGAGGCTCGGAGGAGTAGCTTTTCAACAACTCCATTTCTTCAGTTGAAATCAGGCTGTTTAGATTTTCTGTTGAGTCCCTTCTAATAAATTGTATTTTCAAGATACAGTGGAAGGAAAAACTCCACTTATAATAGTAAATAATGCAGAAGGCAAAATGTACAGGAATAAACGAGTGATGTGCAAGACTTGTGAAAAAAGATTTTTTTTTTAATTTGGAGTCTCACTCTGTCGCCCAGGTTGGAGTGCAGTAGCACGCTCACAGCCACTGCAGCCTCCACCTGGTCTCAGGGGATCCTTCTGCCTCAGCCTCCTAAGTAGCTGGAACTACAGGCATGTGCCACCATGTGGCTAATTTTTTGACTTATTGAAGAGATGAGGTCTCGCCAAGTTGTCTAGGCTGGTCTCAAACCCTTGGACTCAGGCAATTCTCTTGCCTCGGCTCCCCAAAGTGCTGGGGTTACCGGTGTGAGCCACCTTGCCCAGTGAAAAAAGATTTTTAAAAAAACAACTAAAGAACACAACAGACGATTTAAACAAATGGGAAGTCATACCATGTTCTTGAATAGAAAAACTGAGAATTGTCCATTTTCCCTAAATTAATTTTAGCTCAGTTTTCATAAAAGTACTAAATTTTTTTAACCTAGACAAGCTGATTCTCTTGTTCATATGGAAAAATAAGCATTAAAAGTTATCAGGAAATGCTGTGGAAAAATATTTGCTGTGAGGGTGGATCAGTTTACTAGATATTAAAACATTCTGTAAAACTTTTGAAACTGTAATCATTCCTGGCACATGAATATATAGATTAACAAAAAAGATTTAGAATCCATTAATAACCCGAATATACAGATATTTTAGTTACTATTAAAGGTCACACATCAAGTCAGTGTGGTAAATACAGACGATTTAATAATTGATATTGGGACATTTAACCCTCTGAACAAAAGCAAAGTTGGAACCATGCCTCTTAGTGTATGCCATGATTAAAAAACAAACTGTATTAACAAAACCATGAATGTACTAGCAGTGAATGCTTGAGGGTGAAATGGAAGGAAATGGGACTCTGGGGAAGACCTATCCAATAATTATCAAACTCCAGAAGCCATTAAATCTCTGCATACCAAAAACCTCCATAAACTGAATCAAAAGATAAAAATGTATGCTGAGAGAAAGCATTGCAAGTCATTATAGAGTGTTAATCTTCTTAACAAAGAACTCTTATTTGAGAAGTCTTGATTTGATTGATAAGAACAAGCAACTGAATAGAAAAATGGAGAGAGATATAAGCAGATAGTTCACATAAAATTAGAGATGGCACTACATGTGGAATGATGCTAAATCTCATGAGAAGAGACGTGCATATTAAAACTATACCAGTGTGTATCATTATTTTGTGATTGCCAGATGGGAAATCATCCAAAAGTTTGATTATATGAGGAGGGACGCCCCCCCCCCCAAAAAAAAAACTGGAATCATCTTTTGGAGAATGGGCCCCTTGTAGTGTACAGACCTTCCACTAGGTAAGTGTTATAGGAACCCATGGGCATCAGCTAGCATTGTTGTGAGAAGCTGTGTTCTACTTCAGTGGATTTTTTTTTTTTGGAGATTCTTTCAGCACGTTTGTCCATTTCATGACGGGTAATTTTTTTTTTTTTTTTGAATTGGAGTCTCACTCTGTCACCCAGACTGGAGTGCAGTGGCCGCTCCTGGCCACTGCAGCCTCGACTTGCTGGCTCTAGCGATCCTTCTGCTTCAGCCTTCCAAGGAGCCAGAACTACAGGCGCGCGCTACCATGCCTGGCTAATTTTTTTTTTTTTTATTATTGTAGAGATAAGATCTCGCCAAGCTGCCCAGGCGGGTCTCAAACCCGCGGGCTCAGGCAATCCACTCACCTCGGCCTCCCAAAGCTTGGGATCACAGGCTAAGCCACCGAGCCCAGCCGTGACAGGTAATTTATAAGAGCACTTGCCAGCACTGTGTTGAGTGTTTAGTAGTTTCTGACGAAAAACAGCATGACTCCCGTGCTCCATCCTCCCTATTCATCCAATCTTCCCCTGAGCTACTATGGAGAGCCATGATCCTGTCACTAGCCTGGGCGACAGAGTGAGACCTGACTCAAAAAGTATATATATATTTTTAATTCTAGGTTTATTTTTCTCACACTAGTTTTCCATTACTCAAAACAGAATACAGGGCTCTTTGTGATCTGGCCCCTACCTAACCCTTATCTCACTTCACCACAGCACCTCTTTCCTCACCCAGTTCTGCCACACTGGCTGTCTTGCTTTGCATGGAATCTCTGCCTTTCATTTAATAGCCTTTATGCTGAAATGTATTTCCCCCAGATCTTTGCATGACACGCTTCTTCATTCGTTTCTCTGCATGTATCAGAGAAGTATTCTCAGATCTTCCTAAAATTTTGAAAGGTTATATCTTCTTTCCCCTGCTTGATTTTTCTTTACAACACTTCCGCCTGACATTATTATATATTCTTTGTGTGCACCATTAGGACAGGGACTTGGTCCTGTTTGTTGCTGTACGCCATCACCGAGATCAATGCCTGGAACTTCCAGTGCTTAGTGCAAACTTATATTATAAAGGCACTGAAATAGTGTCATATTTGGGACAAGCATATATGATTTTAGGCCATTGATAGTGAAAGATTTGAGCGCCACAGTTTTCAGTATTTTCACAGAATAGTGTACTTACAAGTATTTTGCTGAATATGTTTTCCTTGGTGACTTGTTTTTGTCTTTACCATGCCTGAGCAGGTTTCTGTAAACCATTCTAGGAAAACCATATGAAATACTTGATTTAGAAATAATTGCTCCCTACCTGCCCCCAATATCATCTTCAACTTTTGTTTCTTCAAAATAGTTTTTTTCAGCAGTAATTATCATTTTTATAACTTAAATTCTCTGGTTACTGTATTTTAGAAGCTAACTTGTTTTTTTGGCACTTGTATTGTTAACATGAATCAGATATTTAATTTTGGGGATGAAGAGACTATTTTGATATTCTGCATCCTTGATTCCTTTCTAACCACTTTTAAATTGTATTGAATCAGATGATCCTGTTTAATTCCTGCCAAACTTGAAGAGATTTATTTCTGTTAAAATTTCAAATTAATGAACCTAAATTAGAACATATGTACAATAAGGAAATTAAAAACGCTTATTTATTAAGAAGTCCTTAGAAGTTGTTTTATATAAAACATCTCTTGAATTGAACATTTTTGGGCCTAATTGCACCAGACTATGGCCAACTATTTTTAAAAAACTAATATCTTCAGTTTCCCTAAATAGAAATCATCATATGATTAGTAAAGTTTAAAATTTTTATTGTGGTCTTTTCCTAGCCAGAAACACTATAATATAGGAATAGAATTTAAAATAGAAGCCCTTTTTGATAACATCTTTTTTTTTTATTATTATACCAGGTAGTTTTGGATGTTGGGTGTGGAACTGGAATTCTCTCTATGTTTGCTGCTAAAGCTGGAGCAAAGAAGGTTCTTGGAGTTGATCAATCTGAAATACTTTACCAGGCAATGGATATCATAAGGTAGATGCATTTTAAGGCTTCATTTAAGATTATTTTAAAATTTAATCATTTAACAGATTTTCTTGTCCTTATTAGCTATCTGATGAACTAAAGACATTTGTCATTTAGTAAAAATTCATTCCAGAATAATAAGATTTTAAGTTGAATTGAACTAGACATGTTTGAGCTATGGTACTCAATAATCTTTTATAACTCTCATTGACTAGAGTTATTTTTATATAGTTTCCTGGCTTATCAGTAATATTTTCTTTAGCAAATAGCAATTATACTAAACACTGGGGTTATTTGTCTTTTTCCTATATGTATGTGTGCTTGGGCTTAGATATGATGTCATTTACAGCATTTATTATCATAGTAAAATTTGAGAAACTACTTAAATGTTCATCAATAGAGAACTGGATCAATAGACTACACTATAGCCATAATATGGAAACCTATGTAGCTACATAAAAAGAAAAGAGCTCTGAAAATGTACATGGAAAGATCTCTTTTGTGACAACACTAGCTCTTTTACCTCCTTCTAATTAAGTAAATTCCAAAATGGCTAAAAATTAAGCAAGTGGATTTAGTTTATCCTCTGAAACTTAATTTTATTCTCTAAAAGTGTCTCTTCTTTTTGAGTAATTAAGTTCGTTAGGTTAATTTAGTAATAATTGATTTGAAAATTGGCCATGTCCTAGTATAAAGGCATTTATTTGAAATACAGTTGAGCCGGGATCGGTGGCTCAGCCTGTAATCCCGCGCCTTTGGGAGGCTGAGGTGAGTGGATTGCCTGAGCCCGCGGGTTGAGACCTG